TGCTCTCTTCCCCGCTATGTTATCCTGTCAGATAACATGTCAATGACCCAATGAACCTAATTTGTGGTATAAAACAGGTGAAAAACTCTAACAAAACAGTATTATTTTCATCCAGAAAGTTCATGAAACAAGTAAAACCTTATTTGCTTTCTGGAGATATAGATTAGGAGACCGATACCACTCTTACATCTGTAGCCACTTTGCTTAGCTTAAAGACTGGGAGCAAGGGAAACTAGCTCAGTCCAAAAGTAACAAAATTCACCTGTCACCACCTCTAAAGCTCATTAAATAACACGTCATAACTTGGCTGTTGACTACCCGGAGTCTTTTTATGACTGCAAGGCTGTCGGACTCCAGCACTGGACTAAGTAATAATAGTCCTGCCTCCTAATATTGCAGCTCATCTGTTTCACATTTCAGGTTTCAAGAGCACTACTGGGGTATAACGTGTAATTTATTGAGCTTTGGAGATGTTGTAAATGGATTTATATTGTTTTTGAGAACATATGGATCCATGCCAGTTGTTTCCCCCACTTCCTGTTTTTATGCTATGCTATGCTCAGCTAAGCTAAGCTAATCATCTCCTTGCCACAGCTTCATGTTTATTGAACAGATGTCAGTAGTATCAATATTCTCCTTTAACTCTTAACAAAAAGATGAATAGGCATATTCCAAACAATGTCAGACAGTTCATTTAATAACTAATTTGCATAGTATGACATTTGCACTGTTTTTACTTCACCCCTCTAAACTGTAATTGTCTTTGTGCAGTTTAGGTGAAACTTTTGCTGCAGTGTGTCATAATGCTATAATTATCTTATGCATAATTTATATGTACATCTGTCCCCTCAGATGTATTTTAATGCCAGCATCGGCAGCACAACTAAGCTGCTGAAGCCGCTTTTGGTGTTTGCTTTCTGCATGGCGGCGGGCCTTGCCGGGCTGACACAGATAACCCAGCACCGCAGTCATCCTATAGACGTCTACGTGGGATACCTCATAGGAGCTGGCATCGGAGTTTACCTGGTCAGTTAAACAAAGTGCATAGTGTGTATAACAAGAATAGCAAAAGATTTATCAGCCTTGTCCAAAACTATCCTGAAGTGGATGTCCTATTTCAGGCTTTAGTTTAGGAAATGAGTCAAATGAGTCTGGCACCCATTTCTCACTTATCTTTGTATATCTTTAGGGAACTGTTTTGTCGCCAGGGAGTAGTTAACAGTCAGCATGCATGCAACATGGTGGGAATGGCACAAAAATAGATTTTTTTTTTAAGTGGTTTAGTGGATTTGCTGTGACTGAATTATCCCAGTGTCTTATTTTAACAGTATCCCAGCATGAGCTAACAAATGCTGCTTTTTCTCCTCACCTTTCCCCTCAGTGTGCCTTCCATACTTTTCTCTCCCAGCAGTTTTTTGGCAGGCTATAAATAACCTTTTTCTATTATGGAGGGGAGAGAGAGAACGAGTAATCCAATAAGAATTTTCTGGAACAATTTCACAGTTCATTTTAACAAAACTTGTCTTTGCCGGTTTTCCACGCTTCCCTCCTCATTTTTTTCTGTCTTGTCTTTCATTTTTTAAGAGGGGGAGCATTTCCTCCTGTCATTAATGAATGAATTCTGAGAGAGGGGTAAGAGAGTGATTCAGGCTGAGCTCACATTAAAAATGGAGGAAGGAGAGATGCCTGTTCATGCGATTGCTCCCCACTAATCGGAATATCCCTTTTTTCCCCTCCCATGGATTAAAGAAAATACATTTTTATGCTTCACGTGCTGGGTACTTCTATCTCCTCACTTATTTCTCCTCTCCACTTCCCCCCCATGTCCCTCTCACCCCTATCAGGCTGTGTATGCAGTAGGAAACTTCAAAGCATCAGAAGAAGATGCTTCCTCTTTACAGAGATTGACCCCAGCTCAGCAAAAGGACACCTTGAGGGTTCTGAGCCAGCGGAGTCATGACTCCCTGTACAGGAAGACTCCCAGGGTGTCTGAGAGCAGAGAGGACCTGGGCCACGGGCTGGGGTCTGGGGCCCGCAGTAAGGTGAGGAGGGAGAAGGCGTCACTGGCCTCCCTCAAACGAGCAAGTGCTGATGTGGAGCTCCTGGCAACCCGGGGTCCCATGGGCAAGGAAACCATGGTAACCTTCAGCAACACCTTGCCGCGAGTTGCAAATGGAAACAGCCCCATCTCCCCTTCAGAGGAGCCAGTTACCATGCAGCGCCACATGACCTTCCACATGCCCTTTGACCCCCAGAGGTCTCGGCAGCTGGTGTCAGAGTGGAAGCAGCGCTCGCTGGAGCTCCGTAGCCAGAGCTCACGAGATGAGGAGGAGGGAATGGATGGAAGAGATGGAGGAGATGAACGGGGGGCAGCAGCAGCAGGAGAAGGAGCAGACCAAGGGATGCCTTCTTCTCTTTATCCCACAGTGCAAGCCAACAAAAGCACAGCCACACCGACTGCAGTCAGGATGGTGGTGGCACCCCCACTAGTTCACATCCCCGAGGAGGCTGTTCGGCCACCGCCCGTCTCCCCTAAGAGTGCTAAAACCCGTGCCAAGTGGCTGTCGCTCACAGAGGGAGGAGGAGTGAAGGAGCCGGGAACGGGGCCCATTGCAGTTTCAACTCCCCGTGTGCCCAGCACGCAGCCCACTCAGCCACCGAGCCAGCAAAGGGTCACTCAGGTGAGACAGAAACTGGAAAATGAATTCCTACAAATCAAAATAAGTGACACACAGCTGGTTCTGAGAAATATATTTTAGACAGGAGAATAGATTTAACAGCTGGCAGACTGGGTGCACCATATGCCTCTGATTTACAGTACTGTAAAGTCAAAGCAGAACAACATGGGTGGAGGCAATTTCACTGATTAGTTTCCAAAATAAAATACTCTCACAAGAGCTCAAATACTAATTATAGTTGGATTTAAATGTTATTAAAATGTCCTAATATTAAATATGTTACTTTTACATTTTACAATGTTTACTGTAATAAAAGTCCCTAAACTCTGGGTGTACACTATGGCACAGCAATTTTGCACAAATATTTTGCTGATTTCAACAGTAGCTGCTTTTCTGGATGCTTACCGATGAGATTTTATTCTGTCCCGCAGGTGATAGCTGTATCTAAGCAGCAGGGTCATGGGCCCATCACCTCGTCCACTAAGACCTCAGAGGGTGGCTCCTCCTCAGGTGGTGGGTCCAACTGCTCTGAGTCTCCCTATTACCGGATCCTGTCTGATCGAGACAGCTGCACTGGGAGCAACCCAGGAAGCATCGCCGGAAGTGGGAGCATTGTCACGATTGATGCTCATGCCCCTCACCACCCCGTGGTGCGTGTGTCAGCCAGTAATGGCAAGCCATGGGAATGGAGAAACACCATCAGTGGTAACATGATGACCGCTGACACAGACAAACACCGCACAGCACTGCAGCGACAGGACAATGTCAGTCATTACCGGGATTACCGGACACTCCCGGTGAAAACAGACTCTCTCTGCTCCTCCTTGGCTAGCGGCAGGGCCGCAGGGGGGGCGG